CGAGGTGAAGTATAAGCCGGGAAAGCAGAATGCTTTGGCTGATGCGTTGTCACGCAGAAGATACTATGAACTTGCTCATGTTACAACTGTAACGACGGCTGTGACGGATTTGATCCACACCGCGTATACAGGTGATGAGTTATGTGTAACGTTGCTACGGGCTCTAGGTAGCAGGGAATTTAAAAACACGGACAGTAAATTGTCATCAAGATTGCGTGCACGATTGCACCGATATTCGTTGAATAACGGCTTTCTACATTATCACCGATTCCACTGATACACCACGAATTGTGGATCCTCATGATAAGGATTTGAAATATCGCGTCCTCTATGAGGCTCACGATACGCCACTCAGTGGTCGTCTCGGTCGTGAGAAAACGTATTACTCTGTGAGTCACCACTATCGGTGGACCAAGCTGTACAAATGGACAAGCACCTATGTGCTCACATGTGAGACATGTCAACGGGTGAATCCCTCTCCAAATGCGGCTGCGCCGCTGGCCAGCTTTCCGGTACCCACTGTGTGCTGGCAGTCCATGCCGGCGGTGCCAGATACCATCGACGGAGTCGGTACAGCAACGCTGTTCGTGGATCGTGTTTACCGTCAAAACGGACTCCCAGAGTCGATTGTCTCTGAAAGAGACCCCCGTTTCACGGAAAAATTTTGGTTTACTATCTTCAAGGTGCTAGGCACCAAGTTGGATATGTCGATAGCGGATCATCCGCGGACCAATGATCAGACCAAAGGGTGAATCGCGTCATCGAAGACCATCTTCGCAGCGTTTGCGCTGAGACGCCATGGCGCTGGAGCGCCATGTTGCCAATCGTAGAGTTTGCACTGAACAATGCAGTGTATTCCTCTTCTGGCTACATGCCGTTCAACGTGAAAGGGCTGATTCACCCTCGCGTCCTGCCAACGCCGCCATCCCATGGCGCAGGGCTAAGTTGGGGGAAGCCGAACGGCTAGCTGATGTCAGCCCCTCACCATCCGTAAAGAAGTCGATGACTTCTTGTCTACCAGACTGAGTGTCCTACGACATGTTCGCAATGCGATGGCTGAAAGTTCAGACCTGCAAAATGAATATACAGATGAAAATGGAAGAGGCAAAGCGGAAATCTGTATGGTCGGGGACCTGGTTGTATTAAATTCTAGAAACCTGCCTACACATGCAGACTCTGCTATCATCGGAACGTTTAAGGTTGTGGCCAAGCAGAGCCTAGCGTATACACTACACCTTTCAAAACTGATGTGCACCCACCCAGTGTTTTACGTGGGCTTGTTCAAGCCGTACCGGGATCCGGCGCTAGTGAACGCGGAAGCGTTGGCGCCTGAGCGGATCCCACAGACCCTCGGCCACCCCGAAGCTGGACCAGCAACTAGTTCTGAGCACAA